ACGAAATATCGGTAATATCAGAATGTAGTGGTCTTTTATCCACCATTTTGAATTCAAAATGGCCTCCAACAGCTCCATGTTGATTCTGAATGTATCTCTATGTTGTAAAAAGTATATTTAGCAATTTCTTGTCGAGTTATGAGTGTTTATTTGCAACTTATGTGCTTTAAATACATTTAATCGTTTAGTTTCATAGAGATTTTAGTTATTTTCCCCCATATTGAAAATATGGCCACCATTTTGATTTTTTTGTGCGGCTAATGTGCTTTTTCATTAAACTTGACACATGCAAAATTTGGTGCTTGTATCACAAAGTGAAAGATTTTTATGATATTTTGGGTTAAGCTGCTGCACTATTTCTTTAAAAACACAACTTAAGATCGGTGTACATATATATCGGTGTCTATGCCGTAGCTTATTTAGTTACTTAGCTATCCCAAGCATATTTAGACCCCTTCCCTCCCTGTTTATTAATTTTTTCTTGCTATCAAAAAAAGAAAGGAAAAAAAAAAGGTGAAAATAGGACTTAAAAATTAGAAAATATTTTTAACATTTACTGATAAAACAAAATTTTTCAGTGTAAACAGGCTTTACAAACCACCAATCAAGTAAATCTCGATTTATCGAAAATGAGCTTTTAATTTATTGCTCACCAAAGTATAAAACTTATTGCTCACCAAAGTATAAAACTTATGTAAATCCTATTGAAATTATTATAAAACGTTAGAAAATGCGCATTTGACCGCAAGCTACGCTAAATTTAAATAGTTTTGTAAAAAGTATTAGTTTGGATTTATAAACTAAAATTTTGTATGAAAAATACTTAAATTGTAACATAAAATATTCCAAACCCCATCGTTTATTAACCCCCCCCCCCCCCTCATCCCGTTTATTAAATCTGGACTAAAATTCCCACCCACCTATTTAATTACCCACCCCCCTCTCTTTTATTAAGGACTCGAGAGTAGCCATACCTAACCAGTTAGTAAAAAATGATAAAAAAATGTTCTAAAAGCATTGCTAGATGGCGTCCTTTTATCTTCCAGCTCCCAAATAAAAAATCGTTCCCGCTCAGCATTTTTAGATTACCACCGCATTGGCCCTCCTATATTAACAACCCCAGATCTTAAAATGTCTTAATTCGGCCCTGCTAACATAAATTACGCAACTTCAAATTCAGTAAAAAAAGATCACAATTTTTTCTTGCAGTCTTGAATTCAACAAAAAATTTAAGCAAAAGTATCGATAATCTTATCTGTTTTATTATCCAATAAATTAGACGTTGCTAAATTTATGGACAACCCAATTAAAAAAGAACAACTAAAAAACATTTGCCCCTACTATATATATATATATATATATATATATATATATATATATATATATATATATATATATATATATATATATATATATATATTATATATATATATATATATATATATATATATATATATATATATATATATATATATATATATATATATATATATATATATATATATATATATACATATATATATATATATATATATATATATATATATATATATATATATATATATATATATAAATATATATATATATATATATATATATATATATATATATATATATATATATATATATATATATATATATATATATATATATATATATATATATATATATATATATGCAGAGTTGTTAGTCCTTGGCCTTGCCTTAAGGACAAAAATTTAGGCCTCGGCCTTGGCCGTGAAACTGTTGGCCTTGGCCTTGGTCTTGGCCTTAAAAGTTTTGGCCTTGGCTTTAAAAAAAAATACATTTTTTTTATTAATTTTGTTGATTTCTGTGCATGACCCTATGCTAATTTTACAAAATTTGGTTTTATTTTTACAGCACTTACTACTTACAGTTTTGGCCTTAACGTACGGCAAAAATTGATGTCTTTAGTCTTAAAAATGTTTGCATAGTCTTTGGCCTTGAAACTCTTAATCTTAGCCTTGACCTTAAAACTATAGATTATCTTAAAAATCCGGAAAATTATTTTAGTAAAATATACGGAAAAAATCCGGAGGATGTTTTCTTCTTAATTTTGCTTTTAGCTGAAATTTTTCTAACTTTTTTTAAAACTTTTCTTAGTTTTGTATGAGTGATGAGTGAAAAAGGTTAAAAAAGAAGTATTACAAAAATATATACCTTAACTTGTGTGCATGGAAAACGTTTTGGATTGCTGGAAAAACTAAAAGTTAAGGAAAATATCCGGAATATATATATATATATATATATATATATATATATATATATATATATATATATATATATATATATATATATATATATATATATATATATATATATATATATATATATATATATATATATATATATATATATATATATATATATATATATATATATATATATATATATATATATATATATATATATATATATATACAACCTACCAGTACTTATGAAAAACAAAATAAAAATGTATGCAAATGACACCGAAAAAATGATAAGAAAACCTTTAGCTATATAGACTTTAAAATGCTCAAAATACACTATCTAACGTTAATCAGGCTTATAATAAACTTTATAAAAGTAATAAACCTTGCATAAAAGTTAAAATTGCAGAAGTGCTAAAGCTAAAAATTGCTAAAGAGTACAACACGATGAAAGATTAAAAATCTTAAACTTAAAAAAACAAAAAGAAAAAAGGAGATCTAAAACAAGAATTTAATGAATATGAAAAGTAAAACTTTTGAAAAAAAACAGTGTTTTTAAATAGCTGAAGAACTTAAGAAAATGATATGAAATTTTAAGAAGAAATTACAATATGCAACTTAAGACATAATTTTCTAATAATCAGATCAGCAAATATATGGAACCATCTTAATAAAGAAGCAATAAATTCAAAGCAAAAATAGGTTTAAGAATCGTCGATCTGTCATAATATGAGAGACATGCTCGCTGGTTTTCCAGTTATAGCAAAAAAAACAGCAAGCTAAAAAGATTTTAAAAGTGGTTTTACCCTTGGTTACTGGTATTACCCCTGGTTACGCTTGCAATTTTAAGTTTTTTCGGAAAGATTTCTTGTTTTAACAAAATATATTTAAAAGGTTTTTTTTTTATATATGAGATACACATTTAGTTACAAAACTACTATTGATATTTTTAATTCTTTGTGCTTTGTTAAATTTTAACGTATTTTAATTTATAAAAAAACCTTAGCAAGAAGAAGCCATATGGTGACTTATCACTTAGGTCGGTTGACTTTGCCGAATTCGTCAGTTTACTAAACTAAAAGTATAACAACTTTTTTACAAAAATTAAAAAAAATTGTAAATTAAAATAAATAATTATGTCACGCCATATCATATGTCATTTCAAGTCATTTCGAGTCATTTCAAGTCATTTCATGTCATTTCATGTCATTTCATGTCATTTCAAGTCATTTCAAGTCATTTCAAGTCATTTCAAGTCATTTCAAGTTATTTCAAGTCATTTCAAGTCATTTTAAGTTATTTCAAATCATGTTATGTCACTTCATGTCATTCAAAGTCATTTCGTGTCATTTTAAGCTATTTCATTTCATATCAAGTCACGTCATAATAATAGTTTCGGAGACAACTAATAAGAAAGCAAGAAAAATTCACAATTAGAATAAAATATTTTTATCTACTTTTCTTATATACTTTTAAGGAAATCTTATTTTATTATTTGTATATGTAACAATTATTTTTTGTAATTTGCATTAATGCAAATTACAAAAAATAATTGTCATTTTACTCAGAAACCACGTTTTACTTTAACATTTCATCACAAAAATATGAATCCAGGCATGCGAATTATGTCTATTAAATTAAATAACAGCAAATAAATTAATTTTATTTATACGTACTTTCTAAAACTTTGAACTTTTATAAATCTTAATGAAATTGAAATGACAAAATTGAAATTACAAAAATTTATTGAATTCTCAGATGGTTTAGCGTGGAAAAATCATAGATGCATTAGCAGTTTATGTTACTGCAACTGGCTAAATGCCAACAAAATTTCCTTTAAAACTGATTTAATATTATTTAAAAGTTGTCACAAAAAATTAGACCAACAGCTCAAAATTAAGTTAAATGGGAAAAAATTTTGGTACCATTACAACGATATTTCAAATAAGTTCCCTTGCCACTCTGTCAAAGCTAAAACATTTTATACAACAAAAAACTTCAAAATCTATTTACTATGCTTTGTTTCACTCTCACCTCACATACTCATATACTATTTATCATGCATAAAAAAGCAGTCAGGATTATTAAATTTCTGCTAAAAATTCACATACATTCACATCTTTTAACGCATTACAAATTTTAAAAGTGCATGATATAATCAAAATTGAAAATTGTTTATTTATTTACAGCCTTAACAAAAAAGTTACCTCCTATATTTAACAAATGGTTTACTCGACGCAGTGCAATCAGCTGTCAACTTACAAAAAATTTTTGTAGAGGTGCACTAAGTGTGCAAACATATAATACAAAATCCTACGGTAAACATTCCTTTAAATACATTCTTATGAAAAACGTCTAGATTTCTGGTAAATATATTGCTTTTTGTTGTTGTTGTTATGTCTAGGTTATATTCAACTTTTTTCTGTGACAAAAGTGTGTTCAGAAAAAAAAAAAGAATTTAGAAATTAAATTGCGTATTTAAAGTTTAGATTCAGGACGTTTGAACCTTTTTTGTTTTGTATAGTTTCCAGACCATCAAAACATAAAAAATTCTCCCCACTTTGAGCCCTTCAAAAGTAAAACAAACGCATACAAAGTAAGATAAAAAGCAAATTTTAAAAATAAAAAGATAAATCCACTATGCTCAATAAACGATTTTAGCACATTAAGAACGTCATATTGCGATTAAAATAACAAAGATGTGTTGCTAAAAGTAAGTCTAGAATTGGCAGGTGACTGGTACTTTTTAAAAATTATTTAGGCATACTATAGCGCGTTTTAAGTTTAAGTCTCTGCGTAGTACTAAATAAAAGATATGTTTCGACAAAAAATAAAATATCGAGAATGTGTCAAAGAATTAAAAATAAAATACTTTTTTTTTTATTAAGCTTGTTAGCTGCTTCTGATTTCATGATATCTGTCCTGCCATACTTCAGTTGCGAGCATTTCTTTCAACCTAACATACCTCCGATTAATGTGAGTTTATTTTTTTACGCGAAGTTTACAAAATAAAATTACTAGGAAGAAGAGACAGCAAAAAATATCTCTAAACAATAATTATAGAATAAAACAATTTTTATATATATATATATATATATATATATATATATATATATATATATATATATATATATATATATATATATATATATATATATATATATATATATGTATATATATATATATATATATATATATATATATATATATATATATATATATATATATATATATATATATATATATATATATATATATATATATATATATATATATATATATATATATATATATATATAAAATATCATTTTGATAAAATCAAAAATTTTTTAAACATTTTAAAATTTGTTTTGTGTGTGTTTATACAAAAATTAATATTCTTAAATCACTTAACCAGTGCTCACAAAAATAAAGTTAAAGCAATTTTTAGTTTGTCCAAGCTGATAAAAACATCAAATGACAGGGTTATGCAAAATTATAAAGTGCTTTATGCAAAATTATAAAGTGCTTTATGCAAAATTATAAAGTGCTTTATGCAAAATTATAAAGTGCTTTATGCAAAATTATAAAGTTAAACATTAGCCAAAGTGCTGTAATAAACTGCATAAGAAATCATCAAGAAGGCATCAAATTTGCTACTAAGGGAGAACGCCACAAGCAAACAATCAAAAACAAAAATTTGTTGTTCAGTGAAATCAAAAATACTTTATTTAATACGAAAGCAATAAATAATGAACTGACACAAAATGAAATGGTAAATGAAGTTAGTGCAGCAACCGGTATGGTAATATCTCAATCAACAGTATCAAGGAAATTGCGGAAAATAAATATAACGCGAAAAAGGCTTTCATTGGTTCCCGAAGAACGAAATTCCCCAGCAAATATTGAAAAAAGGGCCATATATGCCCGCCGTATCTCGCGTATTTCTAGTGATAAATTGGTCTTTTTAGACGAATCAGGATTTAATCAGCATTTGAGAAGACGATATGGGTATTCCCAAAAAAATGAAAAGGCATATTCCATTGTTTCCGGAAACAGAAGTACAAATCGAAGTTTGATGTGTGCAATAAATATTTCTGGTGTGGTTGCTTATGAATTAAGAACTGGAGCTTATAATGCTGAAAGCTTTGAAAGATTTATAAGAAATAACCTGGGTAATTATTTCCGACAAAACCCAGACCATATACTGATAATGGATAATGTTCCATTTCACAGATCAAGAAGTATTATAGAAGTTTTAAATGAATTAAGAATAAATAGAGAATATTTACCGGCATGGTCTCCTCAATTAAATCCCATTGAGGAATTTTTTAGCATGATAAAGGCAAGATATCGCGGAATAAAAGCTTTAAATAATGAAATTAATATTAGAGATACATTGGAAATAATTTTTAATCGAATGCGTGAAATTAACGAAGAATTAAGTGGATTTTGGAGATCAATGGAACGATGGTTGGAAAAAGCTAAACAAAACATGATTTTTGAATAAAGTAGTTGCTTAATTTAATATAATTTTTTTGAAGTCTAAATGTTAAATGACATGAGCTTATATATAAATAAATCATATATTCAAACTTTTTTATGCTTTAAATGGATTTATTAAACGATTCGAAATTTTGTATAAAGCACTTTATAATTTTGCATAAAGCAATTTATAATTTTGCATAAAGCACTTTATAATTTTGCATAAAGCACTTTATAATTTTGCATAAAACAATTTATAATTTACAACTTCTAACTTCTCAATGTTTATTTTTTTACGTATTTAATAAAAAAAAATTTTAATTTTAACGCCACATTTTATTCGTACGGGTTAGTTTCGTGTGAGGAAAAACAGTTAGAATAACCGATAAGAAAGGTATTTAAAAGTAAGGTTGTAAAAGTGTGAAATTCCTATCTCGTTAATAACCAATAAATAATTTAAATTTTTGCCCACATGCAAAACATATAATGTGGTTCACATAATTATGCCAATTAATATGGTATAATATTTACTTAAATACGTGAAAACATTCCATGACCTTTACAACTTTATTAGTTTTTAATAATTTTTGTAAGTCTGTTTATGAGGATTTTGTAATGAATATTTTTAAAAGTTGTTATCCAAGACTTTTTAAATACTATTATATTATTTAATGAAGAAAAAAACATCTTATTACAATGTGTTTGCTGCAAGAAAACAACATAAAAAAGAGTCGGAAAAAAGACTCTAAAATGGCCGATGATGTTAGTCAGTGGTGGCCAAACCACTGCCCGCGAGCAAAAAAATGACCCCAAGAGACTTTTTTAATAGCCCGTTAAACAATTTGGATATTTAGGTGACAATCATCTCGGTAATGTGATACTTCTATCTACTTCAAAAATTAATCCAGACATCAAAAAACTAGTTTCAGACGGTCAAGTTTTCACCAAGTTGCACGTATCCTAAAAATTCTGGCGACCCCTGATGTAAGTAAATTTCCATTGCGGTAAATTTTTTTATTATTTATACTCTTAAGACTTTTTTTTGTAAACTTGATAACGGCGTTAAAAAGGCCATCAGCGTTTTATTACATAATTTATCTAATTACAGTGGTGTATAGTGGTGTGTAGAACGAATACAGAACAAATAAGATTTTTGTTTAAATATGTATTGGTGAATAAAATAATAAAAAAATGCAAAAAGTTTAACATTTTGCTCTTTAAATTTTTTAAATGATATGTGGTCATACATTTACATTCGTTTAAGGGGCCGTACATAAAGTACGTACACTTGTAGGAGGGTTGGAGAGTCTTCAATTAGCGTACGAAAGAGTATGGAGAGGAGGGGGGGGGGGAGGTTTTAATATAAATGTACGTACGCACTAATTAAGAAAACTCTTTAGCAATGTTTGTTTTTTAAATTATCACAACTAACAAGTACTTGTTAAAAACTAAATGTTTTTGAATAAATAAAAACTTTTTTTAAAAAAAATAAATAACATACCGTCTCATCATTGTCCATAACTCGCCAGCCCCTTTTTTTGATTCCCAAAAAAAAACAGACTTTGTTTTCGATATAACTCATATGACTCGTTTTTTAAAGAGGGGTGTCTAAAAAACGTCAACTAACGTTAATTTTTATTTGATTCATCCTTAAAACAAATTATATAAATAATAAAAAGTAAATTATGACTTGTCTGCAATTTGATCTAGGGGCCTTCGATGTTGAATCCCTAGCATTAACCTCTCGGTCAAACAAACTTAGGGAAATGTGTGTAAACTAACTTTTTTTTAAATAAATATTGGTGAAATGTACCGGTTTTTGTATTTAATCTGGCGGTTTTTTGCATAAATCTGGTAGGTTTTTTTTATTTAATTGACATTTATTCTGGCTGTTTTTTGCATTTAATCTGGTGTTTTAAAATTTAAATCAATTTTATAATGCTATGAATTGATTAAAATTTATATCAATGTTATAATGCTACGAACGTGCATGTTATGAATTGCTTAAATAATTTGTAATAAAAAAATCACATATTTCAGTTAAAATTAAATTTCTATGCGTAACAAGTGGTATCATCCAATAGCATTGAGTAATAACTTATTAAAAACAAGTAACTATCAGTGAGTTATTCTCATTTTTATTTTTATTATAAATATAAAATCCCAATTTTGGAGACATATATGTCTTCAATGTTGGTATCCGGTATTTGGTATTAGGAGAGGGGAGGAGGGATTTGCAAAACTTTTTTAATAAAGTATGGGGAAGGGGGAGGGGGAAGTTAAAAGGGAGCGGAAAGGAGTATGGTAAATAATAAAAGTACAAACGCTTAGATTTTAAAAATATTTCTTAGTTTATACAGTTTTTTCTAAATTAAAACTTTTTTAAATTATAAAATGATTTCAAGGTATTTCAAAAGCGTACGCACTTTTTTGGCGAGATGGGGAGGGGGTAACTTGAAAGTAAGCATGACAAAAGGGGGAGGGGAGGATTAAACTGCTAAAATTTTGGCGTACGTACTTTATGGATGACCCAAAAGAATAAGTATTATTATATAAACAAGTCATTAGACTTATTTATATATTAATATTTTATAGATGACTCAAAAGAATCAGTATTAATATATAAACAATTCGTTAAACTTGTTTATATATTAATAATAAGAGTTTATTATTACCCACGTTAATTAATTTATTATTACCCACGTAAAACTTTCTTGAAAGAATATAGTGTTGCGATTGTTCTTTTATAGTTTGATTTTGATTGTTGTAAGCATTATAGCCACACATGAACGGCACTAATGCCAACATCTAATGAGGAAAGGTAACTATATGGCTGACATTAGCCTCCCACTCGTAGCCAACGTAAATACTTTATGCTCAAACATAGTGCGGCTTTCGTTCATATTTAGTGTAGTCTTTAGTATATAACCATGACAGCAACACATGGATAGCAACAACGCCTTCCTATAAAGGAAAGTTGTAAGCATTTGGAATATATATGGTTTCCACATATAGACTACATAAAACTTCCAGGTACAAAAATAGTGTTGCGTTTGTTCTGATATAGTATTGTTTTAATGATATAAGTATTATAGACGCACATGGAACGCACTGAAAACATCCCATGAAAAAGAGTGATACATATACGGACATATATTGCTCACAATAAAATTTTTTAATGGGATATGTAGGTGTAGAAACAGTTAAAAAGATAATTTGAGGTTAAGTTAAAAAAAGATAATTTTGGAAAAATATTTTAATTTAAATAAAAATTTAAGAAAATAAATCAAAAAAAAGCAAAAAGAAAAATAAGTGTTTAGATAAAAAAAAAGATAGAAAAGCGGATTGAAAATTTGTTTTTATTTATGGTAGTTTATAGTGTTAATTTCTTGTTTTTTGTTGTTGTTTTTTTTTTTTTTTTTCTTTCATTTTTTTATTTTTATGTGAAAAGTGTGGAAGTAAAGAATTTTGTTTAGTTTTGTATTGGAATGGTAGGAACAACAACAGGGGAGCTTTCAATGAATAACGCTTTTACGCTAAGCAAAAAAAAAGGTCAGTTATGTATTGATTTATGTGCTAAAATTGTAAATATTACCCACGAGCTCTAAAAAATTAAAAAATACATTTAGAAAATGGATCTCGTAGTAAGATGTTGTATGTTTTCACCAAAAGATAACATCTCATAATGTTAAAAAAAATGACTTCTAAAACACTTAACAATTTGCATTTGGAAAACACTTTGCTTAATTTTGCCTTGCTTTAATTGTTTTGTCTAAATTCTGAAAAGTTTATTTTGTAACATTTTTAACACTGATATTGTTATAAATCCGTAATGAAATAACACAAAAAAACGGGCGTTATAAAATACATCATTTATTTTATATAAAGATCTAACAAATTAATATTTTAAAAACTTTCTATAACTAAAAAAGGATTAAATGCATTAACACCATTTGATTCTTTTATAAGCAATTCATTAAAGGGCCAACAAAAATGTCAAAACTGTTTTATTTTTGGTTTAAACTGTTTTGTGAATGCATTTAATCTTTAGGATTATACAAATTTGTATTGAATTTTAATTTTGTTTTTATTTTCAGAGTATAAGTTTTCGAAAATTAGTAATCGCAAATTTGAGTTTTATTAGCCATTTTGCGAAAAACTGGTTTAAATAAAAAGTTAAGTAAATAGCTAAAGGCGGATCCAGGCATTTTTGTTGTTAAGTAAATTCCAGTTAAGTTGTAAACTCCTATTAGAAGCCTGAGAATAAAAAAACCTCAAAAATTAGAGTGTTTTTTATCAAAAAAGTTTTAGATCTACTCTTTCGTCCTCATAATTCCTTGTTAGAACTCGCTTAACTTTCTTGCTTAAAACTCTTACTAATCGCTTAACTTTCATGATACACTGCATAATAATTACAAAACTGATCAATTTCACTTTATGTTAGTAATATGAAAATTAAATTTAATAATTTATAAAATGAAATATTTTTTTCCATCCTAGAATCTTCTTATCAAAGTAAAGTTGTAACTGAACGTATGATCGAAAGATCAATATGTTTTTTCTCTCTACTCCTCTATGCAATGTTACTGTTAACTTGCCTCAGAGATGAGCCTTCAATCAACCCAGAAATCCACATAAAAAAGAAAATGCGGTCTTGTTTATTTAGAGCATCTATTTTTGGATTGATTTGTAAGTAAAATTTACATATATGTCAGACACATTTAATTTAAATTTTGTATACATAAACAAAGAGTTTAATATATATATATATATATATATATATATATATATATATATATATATATATATATATATATATATATATATATATATATATATATATATATATATATATATATATATATATATATATATATATATATATATATATATATATATTAATAAGAGATAAAGTCCTTTAAAGATAAATAGAGAGAGAGATAATGAGAGATATATGTTGATAAGAAAACAAGTTAAGAGACAACGAAAAGAAATGTTTTGATGAATTGTTAAAAAAAAACATCAGAAGATAAAGAGAAAGAGATGAGTAAAGAGATTTAATATAAACTAAGTAAGATTAAAGTATTAGTGATATTGTCACATGATATCAGTTAAAGATATTATTTTTGGTTATATAAAATATATATTCTTTTTAGTTATTGGAACTGTAATAAAGTTTGTAGTGGCAGTCCATAACAACAGACTTCTTACTTTCAACAAAGTTAGTTTTTGGCAGTTAACATATTATCTAAACTTTCCTTTGTTGTTTTGTATTTTGCTATTTTTTTGTCAGCAGATATACTCCTTGATTACTGAACGAAGCAGCATTTAGTACAGCTCTTTAAGAAAAAATATTCTTTGCGTTTTACACGAAGCATCGTTTAGTACACATAATTCCTGAAAAAGTGTTTTTTTAGCTCTTATTTAAATACATCTTAGCAATCCCAAAGCAAGTGTTGGTGATAATACGTACTGGTAACAATTATGAGTTATGTGAGATTCTATTTGATATGCTGCGATGTTTTATGGTCAAAGATTTGTTTGTTTAATAACAGGTTTACTTACTGTTAATATATATTTATTTAAATTTACTCCTCAGACCTCGTCAAACATACTTTTGACACTTTAAGCACCTACAGATTTATTAAAGATGTCTCTTGTGACGTCATCTTTTAGTACAAAGTTACTATTAATATAAAATAATATTTATAATAATTCGAATATCTTGTTACATTTATTTTATGTTGTTGATTTTTTAATGCTTGAGAATAAATATCTTACACATCTTTATTGCATAAAACTATTTCTATGTACAAAAATGTATAAAACCCCCAAAGAAGCTATTTAATCACTATTATTTTTAAAAATTGTTACGATTTTTTTTAAGTTGCGAACCAAAAACAAGTACACTCGGTTAAAGAAAATTATCCTTACGTGCGGACGACAAGTAGACTATGTTAACTTTAAATGCAATTACTTTAAATGCTAATCATTTTAAATGTTTTGTTTGACTCAAATTAAAAGATCTTATTTAATCACAAACAACTTTATGAATTTTTATTAATACATTTAAAACTATGTATAAAACTTTGTTCCGAAACCAATGTAAACTCTAACAACTCTAAAAAACTCAAGATAACTCAATAACAAAAAAAAAAAAAAAAATAGGCTTTTTTATCAACACATGAACGACTATATGTTACCTATTTAGCAAATCGTGTTTCTACTTATATTTATGTGTATTGAAATAAAATTAAAAAAAAACTAAAAAACTTCTTTTTGTCTGCATTCTTTGCTTTTGTTTTTTTTTTTTTTGCATTTTGCATTTTGTATTTTTATTTTTTTCTACCGATACTGATAACATTATTTTTTAAATATAAATTTATTTTAAATTGAAGTATCCAAAAGTATTAGTAACGCATAGCGGTTTCTTGATGACAAGACCATCGGTTTTCTGCGATGACCATCGGTCTTCTGCGATGACCATCGGTTTTTTGCAAGTTTCCCGCGTTCTTTAAAGTAATTTCTAATACTTTACAGTTTTATTTTATATATTTTTTGTATAACATAACTTTGTGATTTTTTTTTAATTTTACTATACTCTGTAAACGATTATATTATATCTTACGAATTTGTAAAGATTAATGTACAAAAAATTGAAAAAAAAAAACAAAAACAAAAAAACTGCTGTTCCGACTCAAACCCTCAGTCGATGTAGCAGTACTCCTTTGCAAGTTCTCTATAATTCTGTCGATGTATTTGCAGTTTATTCTTGCATTTTACCCGCTGAAAATTTCTTTATTACTATATTTCCACATTTTACCTACGACCTTAAAGTTTTTGAAGATTGAGGGTTATGGATTTTTGTTGCACTATGAGCAAATACAACGCACAGCGACTCAAAATAACAACAAAATGACAGTAAACCCCACACAACGTTTTTGTAAATAAGAAGCCTTTAATTTAATAATATTAAACTATAATGATTAGGAGCGGATTTAGGGGGTATCCTGTGTTGCCCAGGGTTTACCCATAATATTCTAAAAAATTATAAAAAATTCCGTTTCGTAACCTAAATTATACTAAACTTAAATTTATAGAATACTAATATGAATATATGAGTTCTTTAAAAAAAAAATGCTTTTATAGAAAAACATACACGGCTATAACAATGTTTTAAAGACTTAGCTCTCCTCCGTCATATTTCAAAACGCCGCTATTAATATCAGGATTCTTTTTTTAAAGTAAACGGTACCGAAAGAACCCTTTTAATCAATTGTTATTGCAATGTATTTATTTTGCTTGCCGTAATAAAGGCCAAAAAAATCTCTATTGTTTCAGGATACCCACGTGGTGATCATAAAACAAATAAAGAAATTCTGAGTATTTCATGGTGTAACACTGATTGTCGCTCCATTTCCAAGGATATGTGGTCACCAAATCATTTTGTCCCTATAGTGAAAAGAGAAGTTTTATGCTCAAAAAAATTTGTCAAAAGTGATTTAAAAAGAGGATCGTGTTCAGTTTTGCTAAGTGTTCTATTGCATTCTTCTGTTACCACTAAGGTTCTTAATTTATTTTTTCAACCTCCTATAAATCTAATTTCAAAAAAGAATCATTAGTAATGAAACTAAAATTATAGATGTAAATACTGATATTACTCCAAATCCAATCTTACTTAATTGTATTCCTTGTTCACCAAAGCATTCTTCAAGCTTAGTCACAGATTGAAGATGGAGCATACTGCCTTCCATGTAAACCGTTGGTAAGCAGAATTCTAAACAATACCTCAATAATCAACTTTATTCGAAAACCTTTTAAAATATGGGTAATGCAATTCGTGCTTATATGGATCACAATAATAATTGTAGACTTCATCAAATGTTAATGCATTGTCTTAACATCCTGCAATCTAGATCTGACGCATAAAAAAATCTCATTGAAGTTGACATCAATAATCTTAGAAAAAAACTTATTATAAGTAATTGAAAAAAATAAATTCCAATTACAAAGACAATTATTTTTCTTGGCCACAATGATATTGCTTTTTTAGGTCATCTTGATGACAGTAAATATCATCCAGAGATCGGAGAAACATGTAAAGACAACATTGGTATAGGTAACTTTATAGAGCTTTTAAATTTTCTTATCGATCAGCTGATAAAGTTCTTGAGCACCATATTCGTTCTGCTCCTAAAAATGCAACCTATATATCTAAAAACACACAAGACGAACTTTTTGAGCCGTGGCGCAGTGGTAGCGCACTTGCCTCAGATTCGTAAGATCCGTGGTTCGAACCACGGATCTTACGTGGTTGGGAAGGAGGCGTGAATTTCCTATTAAATGCTCTTCCACGGTGCTCTGTGATAAGACCGTAAGGACTTCTTGGGGCACCTAAATCAACATTAAAAAAAAAAACAAAACAATCGAATTTATTTTTCTATCTTGTGTGATGGAGCCTCTGATTGTTTTAATGTTGAACTGCTATCTCTAGTTTATAACTAGAGATACATTGACTGGGATAATTTTATTTGAGAAGATTTTCTACAGTTTATTGAATGTAAATCTGGTACAACTGGTCTTAGTCTTGCGCAAAACATAATTTCTGCAACTGATGACCTTAGTCTTGATATCCAAAAATAGAGAGGTCAAGTATATGATGGTGCTAGGGCAATGTCTGGTAAATTAAAAGGTATTTCATCAAGAATTAAATTTATCAATACAAAGGCTATTTTTGTTCATTGTGCATGCCATAAACTTAATTTAGTTGTAAATAAATCATACAATGTTCAGAGTGTTAGAAATGTTCTTGATCAAATCAAATATATATCATATTTTTTTAACTTATCACCTAAATGTGCCAGCTGTCTCAATAAATTCATTTTTCCTGGTCGAGCAAAATTAATTGATACATGTCGAACTAGATGGGTTCAGAAACTTAAAGGTCTAGATATTTTTTTTTGATAACTACATATCCGTTTTTCATTCATTGGAAGAAATGGCATACAATGAAGGTAAGAGTTATAATATTGATACTTCTTCAAAAGCTTCATGTTTTTTAAATCTTACGACTAATTTTTCTTTTATTATAAGTTTAGTTTTAACCAAACAAATAATAGACTATTTCTATGCCATCACTTGTTCTTCAAACTAATGCGTTTGATATATCACAACAGTGTAATGAAATAAATTGTTTAAAAACTCAAACTTTAGATTAAAAAAAAAATATTGATGTTTATCATAACGAATGGAACTTAATTTCTCTTGATCTAGCTAAAACTCTCAAATTTATAAGTCAAGTTTATAGAGATAATTATCCCTCTGACACAGTTTCAGGTTATTTCAAATATTCCATCACATCTCCTCTTCTAGATCATTTAATGAATGAATTAGAAGATAAATTTGATGAAGGTGAGATGGTTGTTTACAAACGTTTATCTGGTATTTCTGCAACTGTTGAAAAAAAAAAAAATAAAGAAAGAAAAACGTTTTTGGAAGTTAGATTTTATGGAATTTTTGCATTTTTATATATCGGATATATCTCATCCTACATCAATTCATGCTGAATTTGATTTGTGGGAAACATTTTGGAACAATCAATCTGTGATTCCATCCACTATTTTAAAGGCTTTAAAATCTGTTAATATGAGGGGTTTCCCAAACATTAGGGAAGGTTTTTTAATAATGGGAACAGTTCCAATTACTACATGTGAATGCGAGAGGAGCGTTTCTGTTATACGCAGACTGAAAACTTATATGCAAAGCCGAAATTTCAAGAAATTTTGTTGCTGTAAGTCATTTTCATTCAAATTTAAATTTTAACTTTATTAAAGAATCTTCTGTCAGTTAAATAGGCAATTCTAAATGATTAAGATTCTAATGCCCTTGCGCAGTGATTTACTAATCGGTTTGTAAATTAAGCAATAGTTTTAAACAGATGAGTTAATTAAATTCCACGATCCTTTATGCATATTTGCATGGAGTTTTTATAATATAACTTGAGTTTTACCTAAAAGACTAGGTAAATAAGTAAAAACACTTGAGTCTATAAAATTGAAAATTCTGGATAATTCGGACAAATGCAAAAAAACTATGGCATTTAATTTTGTTATAGTTTTGTATCCTTATCAAAAATTTCAAGTCAATTGTAATAACAGTTTGTCTAACAGCCCACCATGTGTATATTTTACAAATACGAGAGTTGTAATTATTTGAAACAGCAAATTTATAATAATAATAAAAAAAAGTAAGATAGATGGTTAACCGATAAAAATAAATGCCGCTAAAAACATGGTATAGTCACGTTTGGGCTCAACTTCCACCACTTTTGAAATCCAATGACAAATTGTTTAGTAGTAAACAAATTATTTAGTAATAAATAATAGTGATTAATCTTGTTGATGATACAACTTTAAAAAAATATATTATTTTTATAAAAAAATGTATTTTTAAAAAGCCTAGTTATTATTATTATTGTTATTATTGTTATTATTATTATTATTTATATTTGGCGATAAGAGTTTTTCTTCTTATAAAAAGAAAAACTCTTATCGCCAAGCCCCTTTCAAATATAAATATAAATAAAAAATTACATTGTGGAGTTAAATTACACATTTTCAATCAGTCAATCAATATATTTCTTAAATATATGGTATTACATTTCAAACTTGTTTACAAATAGTATAAACTACTAACAATAAGTAAAAGCCTAATGACAATGATTAAAATAATGGTAATAATAATAAAAATAAATTTTTATAATAATAAATAACAATAAGAATAACATGT